TTCTATGCCTGTCAAAAAGGAATAATACCAGAAACCTCAGATAATAGTTGTAGCCCTAGCCGGTTTGGCTGAATGGATAGAATGTCGGCCTGTGGGCCAAAGGGTCCTGGGTTAGATTCCTGTCAAGAGCACATACCTTGGTTGCAGGCTCCTCCCCCGCCCAGGCCCTGGTAGGCACTCGTGCAGGAGGCAACCAATAAATGTGTTTCTATCACATCAATGTTTCTGTCTGGCCTTCCCTCTCTCTTCCTCTCTCCCTAAACGTCAATGGATAATATCTTCGGGTGAGAATTAACAACAACAAATAAAGAGTTGTAAGGAATAATGAGCTGTATGCACATAGTAAATACTCAATAAATGGCAGCTATTATTATATCATTAAAACTGAACAAGTAGTTTACAAAACCAGATTTAATAATTGACTCTATAGGGATGAAGGTAACATTCTAAGCTGAAGCCACAATGTCAAATTAAAATGTACAAATATTTGCCTTAACTGGTTTGGTTCAGTGGATAGAGCGTTGGCCTGGGGACCGAAAGGTCCCAGGTTCGATTGTGGTCAAAGGCATGTACCTGGGTTGCGGGCACATCCCCAGTAGGGAGGGTGCAGGAGGCAACCAATTAATGCACATGTGTCAAACACAAGGCCCGCGGGCCAAATCCGTCCCGCCAGGCCTTGCAATGTGGCCCGCACCACGCTGTCATCACTGCACTCCGCTGCGTTTCCATCACAATGACAGTTTATGACTGTTCAGTAAACCATTCGGCCCGCAATTTAGGCTGGATTTTAGATTTTGGCCCCTTCTTTGATTGAGTTCGACACCCCTAAATTAATGTGTCTCTCTCACACTGATGTTTCTCTCTGTGTGTCTCTCCCCCTCTTCCCCTACCATTCCCTCTAAAAGATCAATAGAAAAATATTCTCAAATGAGGATTACAAAAAAAAAAAAAAGTGTCTTTCAAGGAATAACCACAATAGGAAACTAGGACCCTTTAAACAGCATTAAGAACTGTGTTTTAAAAATACTTAAATTTGCCGAAACCGGTTTGGCTCAATGGATAGAGCATCGGACTGAAAGGTCCCGGGTTCGATTCCGGTCAAGGGCATGTACCTTGGTTGCGGGCACATCTCCAGTAGGGGGTGTGCAAGAGGCAACTGATTGATGATTCTCTCTCATCGATGTTTCTAACTCTCTATCCCTCTCTCTTCCTCTCTGTAAAAAATCAATAAAATATATTTTAAAAGTCACTACGTTTTAAAAAAATAAATAATAAATAAATAAATAAATAAAATTTGTAATACAAGAATATCTGGAGGTGCATGATTTATGAAAGGAGTTTTGAATGAAGATTTTTTTTGTTTTTTAATTTTAATTTATTCGTTGATTTTAGAGGAGGGAGAGAGAAAAAAACATCAATTTGTTGTTCCACCCATTCATTTGTTGATTCTTTTTTAAAAATATATTTTTATTGATTTCAGAGCGAAAGGTAGAGGGAGAGAAACATCAATGAAAGAGAATCATTGATCAGATGCCTCTTGCACACCCTCTACTGGGGATACAGCCTGCAACCTGAGCATGTGCCAGTGGCAGAAATCAAACCTGGGACCCTTCAGTCTGCAGGCAGATGCTCTATCCAGTGAACCACACCAGCTAGGGTCATTGGTTGATTCTTATATGTACCCTGACAGGGGACCGAACCCACAACCTTGGTGTAGTGGGAGGACATTCTAACTAACTGAGCTACCCAGCCGAAAGGATTTTTAAAACATTTCATTTGATCCTGAAATTATTTCAATTTACTGAAGAAACTGAGGTTCACAGAAATTAAGTAATTTGTACTACAACCCACGTATTACACAGTTCAACACTATACACCACAACTCCTTCTGGAAAGACTTAATTCAAATCTTGTTGGTTGGACCAGTATTGTTTCATCAACTATTTCAAGAAGGTTAACCATCACCTAAGGCCTGAAAATGAAAATCTTTCCCATGCACAGTAATGGCATGTCACCTACAGAGACTTTTCATTTGCCAAGTATCCTGAATTGCGTGATATTAATAATTATTGTTAGGCCACCTTGTGACAAGACATATTGTCGTTGGAAATACAGTGGCTGAGCCCACTGGTATAATCTTTCAGCCCATATTATTTCCCATTTTTTACTTAGCTGGTGTCCCATTGTTCAACTCTAGATAGATAACATGAAGCATTAAACTGATTCTGATTATTTTATCTTCTGTTATTAATATAAGCCAAATGCAATTGCCAAGATACTTAAAAGGAATGTAGGGGCAAGCATGCTTGTATACTCCTCAAAATAAAATAACATCACAAAGGTGCCTTTAAATTTGGTTAAAGTAAATTCCAAAAATAATTTATCAGCAATCCCTTTCCCCAAATTCCCACACTTTCCCTCTGATAGATCACTATCATTCCCCAGGGTATCCTAAAAGCAAATTACTAAGGCATTCTACTTCAAAATGACCAATTCCTTAGAAACTGAACGTAAATACAATTTAATAATTAAATTGCTACATTGGAGGACTTAAGTTTTAAAGAAATTCTATAGGAAGTCTTTACATAAAGTCTTAATGTAACTAGTCACCCTCCTATTTTTATACTATATAAAATATTAGCCTTTTATGTGCCAGAGTTTGTTAAGAGGAGAGATGATTTCGGCAAGAAAGAGTAAATATAAGCCTGCACCATAACTACTGTGTTTATTTGGGTCCTTGGTAACATGACACCATTTTCTCTACAGGTAATATTTTACAGAACTTCACACTTGGGCCCTTCCTAACAAATGTAAATATACAGTTAACAGAAACTTCATGGAAGATGGAAAAGAAACAGCTGTCTCGTACAATACTGAGTCCACTCTGGCCATCGAATACGGACAAACACAAAGATCTATTTGGAAGAGGCTTCCTCTCCAGCCAAGGGCTGTTCCCAGAGAAAGGCACCGATCAGAGCACAACAGAAAAACCTTCTCCGGGGGAAGAATTGCGTCAGGGGGGAAAACGGGGGGAGAGAGCATGGATCGGAAATAAACAGGGAGTGTATGAGCTCAGGGTGAGGGCTAAAGGCAGCAGGCGCAAACGCTGAGATGCTCCAGCGAAAAGACCCAGCAGCAGCAGCAGCAGCAGCAGCAGCAGGAAGTTTCAATGGGGCCGGGCAGAGCATGCGCCCTGCGCCCGCACGGTGGCCTTATGTGGAAGGAGCACCACTTGCAAACACCAATAATAGACCAGCGGCACCAGAGAGAAACATGAGCAACAAGCACCTCTTCAACTGTTTCCCCTCCGCCCGAGCCCCTCCTCCAGCCTACACATTAACCACCCCACCCGGCAAATGGGAGGGCGATTTCTCCTTCCCCTAAGCCTGGCAGCCTAGATGAAGGGGGAAGGGACTGAAAAAGTGGGGAGATGCTTTCCTAGGGGGGGTGGGGAGGAGGGCGGGGAGGGTGGTGTCGGGGTGGAGAAGAGGGAGAGAAAAAACTATGGGGAGGAGAAATTAACCCTCTACCCTCCAAAGCGGAGGTGAACCGACTTAGTCTCCCTCTCCACCCCCCACACCCCAAAGCGAGAATGGAAGAGGACACCCCCCCCCCTCCCACGGGGGAGGAGCAAATCTGCCTACTTGCAGGAAGGAGTTTTGGGGGTTAAATAGGCCCTCGAGGAGGAGAAGAAGCCAAGAGGGACGAGAGCCGACTCTCTCCGGGGAGTTCCCACTGGAGGGAGAGCTGAAGTGTCCGCAAGCCCCCGCCCACCCAGGTGGAGGGAAAGAAAGGGGCGCCCGGAGATGAGCCCAGCCTCTCCCCCGAGATGGTCAAGAGGATGGTGGGAGGAGGGGAAGCAGAGCCAGGGAGAAGAGGAGGAGGAGGAGGAGGAGGAGGAGGAGGAGGAGGAGGAGGAGGAGAAAAGCGCAAAGCTGGCCGGAACCTGCGCTCCCCTGCCCCCGCCGCCGCCGAAGAGGGAGCCGGGGTGGGGGACCGGCCTCCACCGCCGCGGGGGAGCCGTCCCCGGGTCAGCCGCTCCGCACAAGGACCCCTCCCCGCCCCAAGCCCACACCTAGCCCGCGACTCCCCCACCTCCAGCTCGGCGCCTGGCCGGCCGAGTGGCCCTAGGGGGCCTCCGCCCCGCCTCCTCACTCACTGCCCGAGCCCCCCGGGGGCTGAGCGGGGGAAGACAGGCCGGGCGGAGCTGCACCCCAGGTGCCGGGGGGAGATAGAGTCGCCGCGGCCCGGGGGCTGTGGGGAGAGCAGCAGCAGAGACGCGTGCCAGGGCCGCTTCCCGCCGGGCGTTCGGGCCCCTCGCTTACCTTCCCCGCTGCCGACGTCCCGCGGCGGCGTCTGCAGCACCCGCTCCAGCTCGGGGAACGGCAGCTCCGGCAGGTCGAGCAGCGGCCCGTAGCGCTCCAGGAAGGAGCACACCACGGCGAAGTTAGGGCACGAACCCGGGCAGCCCGGAGGAGCCAACGCCGCCGCCGCTGCCGCCGCCGCCGCCGCCATTTTGAACTGGAGGATGGAGGAGGAGGGGATGGGGGGGCTGGAGGGGTGCCGGGGTGCCGAGGACTAGCAGGGTGGCTTCACAGACGACAGGAGGCGCTAGCTCGTGGACGCCCCTGCACGGCCGAGCTCCTCCGGCCCCGGCGCCGCCGCCGCCGCCGCCGCGATCCCACAATCCAGCAGCGGCCGGGAGCAGTCGAGAGCCGAGTGTGACGGGAGGAAAGAGAGACGCTCGGCGCCTTTCACTTTCCTCCCTCTTCCCGCCCCCTTCCCTCCCCGGCCCTCGCTCCTCCCACTTAGAGTTCCTCGCAGCCTCGTGTGACAGGGGGGAATGAAAACAAGGGAAGCCGGGCTGGGAGCGAGGGGGCGGGACTTGCTAGGGACGGTAGCCAATAGACTTTGGGGGCGGGGCTCCGGGCGGCTGGGATCAGAGGGGGCGGGACTTTCTAGGGACGGTAGCCAATAGGCTTGGGGGGCGGGGCTCAGGGCGGCGGAGGGCCTAAGGCTGCTTCCGGGCGGGGCGGGTGTGGGGAGAACACCTCGCTCCGAGGGTTCCGAGCTCTCCGAGGCGGAGCGGTTGGGGATCGCAACTCCCTGAAGAGAGAGGGCTTTGGTGAGTTTGGCGGGGGACTCCGAGAACTGGAAAGAGGGCCACGGGACGGTGAGGGGAGTTCAGGAGAGTGAATCGGAAAAGGAAAGAGAATAAGAAGCACGATTGTGGGAGAACGTGGGGAAGAGGGTACGGGAGAGGGGTGCCCTTCACTCGGGGTTGGGATGGCACCTGTTTGAGGACAAGTCTGCGGAAGTTGGCCGAGGGGTGTTGCTCGCTGCTGCCGTCCAGGATTCGCGGCTTTGCTTTCGGAAAAACAAGTGTCTGAGGGCTCCAGGGGACGAGGGCCTGCGGGACGGGGCTCTGCGGAGATCGCCCGTCTGAAAAGCCGGGGTCCTGCCAGGAGATCGGAGTCTGGAAGGACCTGCCTCCGCGGGAGGGCAGAGGGGAGAGAGGACGGGGCTGTGCTGGGTGTGTGTGAGGGCGAGCGGCTCTGTGGAGACCCTGGGGCAGTGGTTCTCCACCTTCCTAAAGCCGAGACCCGTTCCTACAGTTCCTCCTGGTGTGGTGATCCCAACCATACAATTATTTTCTTTTCTTTTTTTAATATATTTTATTGATTTCTTACGGAGAGGAAGAGAGAGGGATACAGAGTTAGAAACATCGGTGAGAGAGAAACATTGATCAGCTGCCTCTTGCACACCCCCTACTGGGGATGTGCCCGCAACCCAGGTACATGTCCTTGACCAGAATCTAACCTGGGACCTTTCAGTCCACAGACTGACGCGGTATCCACTGAGTTAAACCGGTTTTGTTTATTTTCATTGCTACTTCATACAGTTATTTTCATTGCTACTTCATAACTGTAATCTTGCTACTGTTAATAAATCGCAATGTAAATATCTTTGTTTTCCGATGGTCGCGACCCACAGGTTGAGAACTGCTACGGTAGAGCCTAACACAGATATTTACATTACGATTCATTAACAGTAGCAAAATTATAGTTATGAAGTAGCAACGAGAATAATGTTATGGTTGGGAGTCACCACACCAGGAGGAGCTGTATGGAAGGGTCGCGGCATTAGGAAGGTTGAGAACCACTGCTTTAGAGTCCAAGGGGATTGATTGGTCTGTGGGGTGGGGGCAAAGGGTGGGCGTGATAGGAGATTGGGTGGAAGGGTAAAAAGTTCCATAGAGGACAGGGTTCTACCTCGCTGGGGGCAGCAGTGAGCATCCTCCCAAAAAGAATCTCAGAAACCATCAATAATGCAAAATGGAATGTACAGCCGGAGATGTATTGTGCATTATGGTTTAGGAGCTTGAGCTTTAGATTCAGCCAGAATTGAATCCTAACAGAACTTCTTGATACCATTGGGGAAGATTCTTAATTTCTTTGAACCTCTGTAAAGTGGGGGTGATAACAGTGCTTACACCATAGGATCTAAGTAATTCACAGTAAATTTATTAGCACCATGCGCCATCTGGCATATTGTAAGTACTTTTTAAAAAGGGAGTTCCTAAAATTTAGATGGAATCCAGCTATAATGTATACAGTTTACTACTTTAAGCCAAAATTTTCAGTGTACATTTAAAACTTACATAGTAACTACTTCCTAAGAAGAATTTGAGGCAAGGTACAGTATAACCATGTAAAATGAGACAATTAATGATTAAGAACTTTATAGGCAAATAATTATTTTGGGAACAGATAAATGCTTACCACACTTAAACATTGAATTTTGTTCTGCATTTCTAGGTTTAAAAAAAGGGAAAACCATAATGGTCGACATCATTCTCATTATCTAAAGAAAGAAAAACTACTCATTTATCAAAAGAGAAAAATTATAAGAGGAATTTATTACCTAGAACACTTATTTCTAATATTCAAACCCTTTTTAAAAGGGAAAAAAATGTTCTTTTGAAATATATCAAATACTTTTGAAAATTCCAGTTTAAGAATTCTGATGTATATACTTTCCTTTAGTTCTTTGAATATATTTATAATAGCTTCCTTGAAGTCTTTGCTACATCAAACATTTGGGAACACAAGTACAGTTTTTGTTTTTTTAAAAATAAATTTTAAATTTATTTCAGAGAGAGGAAGGGAGAGGGAGAGAGAGAAACATCAATGATGAGAGAGAATCATCAATGGGCTGCCTTCTGCACAGTGGATGGAGACCAAAACCCAGCATGTGCCCTGACCATGAATCAAACCAGCAACCTTTTGGTGCACGGAATGATGCCCAACCAACTGAGCCATACTGGGCAGGACCACTGCATTCTTAAATAAATTTATATATATATATATATATATATATATATATATATATATATATATATATATATAAATTGTTGTTGTTGTTGACAGTATAACAGGCTCCTCTATCTCCCCTTTCCCCCCGCCATACTCACAGCCTTGTGTCCATTCTGGATATGTGGAGAACTTATTCCCCTATGGCTGTGTCAAATCTGGGAAATTCCAGTTAAATCCTTCCCTACTCTCCCAATATTGTTTGCCCCAAATATGAAGGAATCAGAGCCACCTGTCATCCATATTCACTTCCACTAAGATCACTAGTTTAAATCGTAGTGCTTAAAATCAAGTGAGCCTCCTCTGACTGTAGCAGCAAATCTGTTGTTTTTCATGCTCTGCTCCAACCACATTGAACCTCTGTGCCAACAGAATTAATGTGGGGGCCTGGGAGTGGTCCCAGGCAAGAACAACAACATACCTTACTGTTCTTATCTGAAATTCAGTGGTTGTCATAAATAAATATTTCTCAGTTTATACATATGCATTTAATAGTATTTCTAGAGCACCAGGTGGTTATTTTTATAGTTTTGTCCAGCTTTATATTTGCTTTTGGGGAAAGGATTATCAATCTCTTCACTCCATCATGCTGAAGTAAATCTCCAACTTTTCATTTTATCTCAAAAAAAAAAAAAAAAATCCTGAGAATTCCTTCCACAGTCTGAGAAGTAATTATATTATCTAGTTTCCAAGGCTGGATATTTCAGAATCCCAAGAATAACAGTTTACTTATTAGACCTCTAAAGAAAAAGTGACAACCACATAAATGAGGAAAATGCTTCTTAACCCATAGTGGATTATAGCTAACTATATTTTGCATATATAATAAGGAAATTACTTGTTTTAAAAAATCCAAATACTGGCATTGTTCAGAAAAATTTAAGTTTCTAATTATTATGAAGCTGAACTGATGAAACTTGTTCACTGAAATATTTTGACTTGCATTATTAATGCTTTATGTCCCAACATGTATATTTTTAAAAATCCACACACAAATGAAAATGGAAAAACTGCCCATACCTTATTTCCCCTATTTTTTTACTTGCAATCATATACTTAGGTATCTTTTGACCCCATGAGGAAAAAAGTAGCTAACATTCAGAACAACCAATAACAGGAAGAAGAGAAAACTTTTTTTTTTTAAATGAAAAGTTGCCTGGCTGGTGTGGCTCAACGGTTGAGCATTGACTCAGAAACCAAAAGTCCACTGGTTCAATTCCTGGTCCTGCCTGCCCTATTGTGGGTTTGATCCCCAGTAGGGGATGTGCAGGAGGCAGCTGATTGATGATGTTTCTCACTTAATGAAGTTTCTATCTCTTTATCCCTCTCCCTTCCTCTCTTAAAAAAAATCAATAAAAACATTTTTTAAAAAGGGATAAAACGTTCCTCATTATAGTGGATTCTTAAGCATGTTCTCCACATATGCAGCATACTAGCTGGATGTCTTTTGGCATAATTGTTACACCTTTGGCCTGGATAGCACATAGGTTGGTGTCTTCAAAAAGGCCAACCACATAAGCCTCACTTGCCTCCTGCAAAGCACCAATAGCTGCATTCTGGAAGCACTGATCTGTTTTAAAGTCCTGAGCAATTTCTCGCAGCAGAAGTTGGAAGTTTGAGAATCAGATGTTCAATGGACTTCCGATAATTTCATGGAGTGCTACAGTACCAGGCCTGTAACGGTGAGCTTTCTTCACCCTTCCAGTAGAGGGCACACTCTTTTGTGAGCGGCTTTGGTAGCCAAATGCTTGACCACTGGTCAATTTGTGAGCAGTCTGCTTTGTAGGAGCCATGGTGTAGAGCAGCGATTTTCAACCTTTTTCATCTCATGGCACACCATAAACTAATTACTACTAAAAGTCTGCGGCACACCAAAAATATTATAATTTAGGTATAATGTTGGTTTAGTCACACCGGACAGCTATTGTTGTGTTGGCTGTTGTCATTTTTTTATCTGACAGTCTAAGGGAAAAGAAGCCAGTGTCCCTCACTAAATAGTCAGATATTGCATGTCTAAAAAATTATTGTGACATACCAGTGTGCTGTGGCACACCAGTTGAAAATCGCTGGTATAGAGACTTCCTTCCTTACCCCCCTTCTCCTTCTGCTAGATCTCTATGAGCTAGAGGCAGCACTAACATTACAGAGTGATAGTATTATATTTAAAAATATATTTTTATATAGTATACCTCCTGCATTTTGGAACTATTTCAACTTTTATAACTGATTTGGTACTTTCTTTTAACATTTCAGGTTTCAGTTAAGTTCCTTATGTCTTCTCCTGAAATTGCTTCCCTTTCATGGGGACAGATGAAAGTACAAGGCTCTACTAAAATCTATAAGGACTGCAAAGTGTGGCCAGGGGGAAGTCGGGATTGGGATTGGAGAGAAACAGGAACTGAGGTAAGCTATTAGTGTTTGGTTGATACTGCATAAGGCTAACAAAGTGATTTCCACCATCCTACGCTATAATGACCAAGTGAAAAGTAGCTCGCTCTCTCTTTCCTTGAGATATAATTCAAGTATGCAATTCAATGGAGTTTTCATTGTCATAAGCTTATGCAGTAGTTACCACTACTGATTCCAGAATATGCTATCACTCCAAAAGGAATCCCCATAACTATTTTCAGTCACTGCCTCTTCTTCCCCTCCCCCAACTCCTGGCAACTACTAATCTACTTTCTGTTGCTGTAGATGTGTCTATTCATTCCAGATAAACAGAATATTCAATTCTCTTAGGATTGGAAATGCTGGGTCATATGGTAACTCCATGTTCAACCTTTTGAGGAACTGCCAGACTGTTTTCCAAAGCAGCTGCACCACTTTACATTTTAGATTTTAGGAATGTGTGATGTTTTCAATTTTTCTAAATCTCTCTACACTAGGGGTGTCGAACTCAATCAGAGAAGGGGCCAAAATCTAAAATCCAGCCTAAATTGCGGGCCGAATGGTTTACTGAACAGTCATAAACTGTCATTGTGATGGAAACGCAGCGGAGTGCAGTGATGACAGCGCGGTGCGGGCCACATTGCAAGGCCTGGCGGGACGGATTTGGCCCGCAGGCCTTGTGTTTGACACATGTGCTCTACACCAACACTCACTATTATTTGCTTTGTTTTTATTATACCCCTTCTAGTGGGTACGAAATGTTCTCTCATTGTGGTTTGAATTTGCATTTCCCTTGTATTGCACTTCCTCTAACATTCTCAGTGTGCAATACCCAAGGTAGAGTCTGTGTTCATGAGTGGAGGTTGGATGAAACAAGGGAAACCTTACCTCTCACCCACACTCACTTGGAACTTAGTCCCACAACACACAGCTGGGGCAGGACGTGACAAAATGGAGTCCTAGTCCACCCTGGGTAAACCTTTCCAGCTGGAAGATGAGAGGAGAATGTTCTTAGCTGCAGCAGTGGAGTGGAGTCTCCACCTCATGGAACTGGGAGTGGGGAGGCTGGCAGCAGTCCTTCCTTAAATACCATGATTTCTCACCTTTTCTGCCAAATATTTATAGACATCCTTTAATAGATGTTTCTTCATTTGCTCTTTGCTCTAAGGATCATTTCCAAAGGCTTTGAAAGATTTTTGTTTCTATTTTTTATTTTTACTGTTGTTTGAATGATTTTCTTTTTTCCTGTTTGTTGTTGTTGGTGGTGGTGGCAGAGGTTGGTTTTTTTGTTTGTTTCTTTTACTTATTTTCACTTAAGAGCAGGTGGTAGAGCTGTTCATGCTGTAATGATGGAAATTGATCTTCAGTTTTAAATATATATTTTTTATTTATTTCAGAGAGGAAGGTAGAGGGAGAGAGAAAGAGACGAACATCAATGATGAAAGAGAATCATTAATTGGCTGCTTCCTGCACACACCCCACTGGGGATTGAGAATGCAACTCAGGCATGTGCCCTTAACTGGAATCAAACCAAGGACCCTTCAGTCCGCAGGCCAACACTCTATCCATTGAGCCAAACTGGCTAGGGTGAATTCTTTTTTTTAATGTGTTTTTTATTATTATTGACTAGAGGCCCAGTGCATGAAATTTGTGCCCAGGTAGGGTGCCTAGGCCTGGCCAGCGATCAGGGCCAATTAGGGCCTTCCAGCTGCCGGCCGGGGTCTTCTTCCATTCAGTACCACCTCCTGGTGTCAGCACACATCATAGCAAGCAATGGAACTCCCAAACTCGCATGGAAACACTTTGCATATTAGCCTTTTATATATACACTAGAGGCCTATTACACAAAGATTTGTGCACTAGGCCTTCCTTCCTCTGGCTGCCAGCACTGGTTTTCCTCCGGCACCTGGGACATAGGCCTTTGCTTCAGCTGCAGCAGAAAAGCCAAGCCTCTTCAGTCGTCTTCAGTCTTTAGTCTTCAGTCTTCTCTCAGGCTGGAGTCTTCAGTCTTCGCTCCATGCCTGTGTTTACAAATTAACCCACCAACTTTGTTGGGTTAATTAGCTTACTGATTCCTGATTGGCTGTGGGCATTGCAGAGGTACTGTAGATTTGCATATTTCTTTTTTTTTTTATTCGTGTATATTAGAGACACAGTGCATGAAATTTATGCACAAGATGGGGGTCCCCTTAGCCCAGCCTGCACCCTCTTCAATCCAGGGCACCTCAAGCAAAGCCTCTCAAATTTACTTCCTCATATTGCCTCCGTTTTCTCTCCTGGACCATGGCACCAATCCCCCAGCAGTTCTTGCTTCTTAGTCTGCCTTTTTTATGTCTCTCTTCTGTTATAATTTCTAAAAGATAAAGTTGCTCATGTCTCTGCTCTGCTTAGAAAACTCCAGATGCTTTTCATAGACTTCAAAGTTAAATACGATAGTGTTCACGGCCATTGTTTATGATACAGTTCCAAATTAGCCTTTCATTCTCCTCTCCTGTATTTCATAACACGCATTTGAAGACCTAGTATCCCACACCAAATACCTATTGCCTTCCAAACCTACCATTATCTTTCATTTTGTATCTTTTGTGTCTTTGCTAAAACCATTTCTCTTACTTGGAATGACACACTCCCTTTTGAAATCTTATATGTCCTTCCATTCTTAGCATTCGTATTATCTCCTCTAAGAAGCACTTTCTCATAACCCTGGTGAGAATGAGCAGCTTATTCCCTCCTCAGTATTTCTGTAATACTTGCTGCCTCTATTATAGCACTTAGCACAGACTGCCTGTATATAATGAGTGTATTTATCTGTTTTCCTCACTAAGTCCTCAAGTTGTTAGGATTCCTCACTAAGTAGAGCACTTCCTAAGGGTAAGAACTATGCATTTAGCCCAGAGCCTATAAAATAGGAGATCAATATATTTTTGCTGTACTGAATTTTTCATTATAAATGTCATTAAACCAATTTTTAAAAAACCTTTTGTGACATTTCCTCTGAGGTATGTTAATGTTTTGTGTGTTTTTTTATTATTAGTTTTAAAAGGGAAGGGGTAGGTTTTATAGTGATTAAACAATGGAAATACCAAGAAAATGTACTGTCTTTAACCAATGTCCTTGAAATGGTAATTACTATTACCTCCCAATTCTCTATCCATGATTTTTAAGCAACTACTATATAACTGCTCAAATATAGCTTTTCCAAAGTCACACAAAAAATATATTTGAAAATTAAGTTTTGAACCCTAGTCTTACTCTAAAGCCCATACGTTATAACTGTTTCATGCTATCTTCACTCATTTCTCTCCCAAAGCAATAACTATCTTATTAGAGAAGATTCTTCTGTGTGAAAATATGCATAAATCACTCATTTATATATCTTTTTGTTAGGCTGAAAGTGGTCAGGATGGAAGATGTAAAACAAGTGTATTCAACAATGAAGATAAATATTTTTTAAAAGTGTGAAATTAGCTGAAGCCGGTTTGGCTCCGTGGATAGAGTGTCGGCCTGCAGACTGAAGGGTCCCAGGTTTGATTCCGGTCAAGGGCATGTGCCTTGGTTGTGGGCGCATTCCCAGTGGGGGGTGTGCAGGAGGCAGCTGATCGATGATTCTCTCTCATCAATGTTTCTAACTCTCTATCCCTCTCTTTTCCTCTCTGTAAAAAAATCAATAAAATATATATTTTTTTAAAAAGTGTGAAATGAAAAGAAAGCCAAACCAATAAGTACCCACCCCAGAACTTTAAAGGACCTATGGAAAATTTATCCCAACTTTTAATTTTGAAAAATGTTAAACCTACAACACAGCTGTATGAATAATACAGTAAATACCCATACACCCTTTATCTATTAATAAGTCCTCAAGTTGTTAGCATTTTACCATATTTGTTTTTTCTCTCTAAATACAAGCACATACACACACACTCACACTTCTCCCCCAATCATTTGAGAGTAAATGGGAGATACCATATTTCAGCATTTCTCCCCTAAGGACATGACCATTCTCCTACATAGCTACCATACCATTATCATAAATAAGGATATTATCATTAACACAGTATTATCTAATATACAGTCTATCTTCAAATTTCCTCAGTTCCAAAAATATCGTTTATGTCTCTTGGTTTTGTGGTTTTATTTTTACACATAATGCAGGCGTAGGTGTGAAGTGCAACACAATTCCCAGAGAGTCTACCGTCGACCAGACCAAAGGTCCTTGTGCTCGGGACAGTGTTACCTAAGGAAAGACAGAGGGGTTGTTGCTTTTGCTCTTGTTTTTATTCACCTTTTAGCCTGGTTGATGTGGGCAGCCTATTCTGAACTCTGTTAAACTTCTCTTTTTTTCTTAATTTTGAAAAATATTGAACATATTTAGCAAATTAAATAAAAATAGAAAAGACACTTGAATACCATCAACCTGGATTCACCAATTGTTAACATTCTGCTACATTTGCTTGTTTGTCTCTCTGTGGCACTTTATCTCTCAATAATGATTTTTGTTGAATCGTTTGAAAATAAGTAGCATACATTGTGAAACTTGAACTCTAACTACTTTAGCATGTATGTACTAAAGCATGTATATACTTATATACTATAAGAAACTCAACATTGAAATATCATTAAATAATATCTACTCCATGTCAAATTAACAATTGTTCCAATGAAATAAATGTCTTTTATAGCTGGCTTACTTTTCTAATTCAAGATATATTCATTTTGTTGTCATGTTTCTTTAGTCTCTTCCTTTAAAACCAGTTCTCCAAATTTTTTTCCTCTTTTATGACACAAATGGATTTAAAATATATATATGTATATATATATATATATATATGTATATATGTATATATTATTGATCTTTCACAGAGAGGAAGAGAGAGGGAAAGAGAGTTAGAAACATCGATGAGAGAGAAACATCCATCAACTGCCTCCTGCACACCCTCTACTGGGGATGTGCCCTCAACCAAGGTACAGGCCCTTGACCGGAATCGAACCTGAGACCCTTGAGTTTGCAAGCCAAT